GCCGACCGGAAGGTCGCTGCCGAGTACGTCGACAAGCAGTACAAGAAGGTGCAGCGATCACTGGAAGGACTGGTTGAGATTTCCAAGGACCCCCGCGTCATGTCTGTGCAAGTCATCGGGAACGGTGACCATTCCGGATACTCATTGCCGCCATCTTACAACCGTGAGATGGGCAAGCACATCAATTGGCTGGCAGAGCGTGGCATCCAATGTGTGAACTCCACTATGCTCGCTCAGGGTGGGAAATACGACAATTACCACCTACATGACCACCAATTTAATCGGAAACTGGTCTATCGTTTCTTGAGAGGAGCCATCACCTTCCACCTCAAATACGTTGAGCTCATGTCGAAGAAGGACGAACTCAGGTACTTTGTGAAGGAGTTCATCAGCAACGAGCAAGATCGTGTGGCCGCGGTCCATCTCTTCCCCACGATGGTTCAGTTTCGTTTGGCTTTGCTCGGCACTCAAGAAGTCATGGAAGCCGTCTCCACTGAGAAGAAAACGGCAACCCCTGCCCAGGTCTTCGACGAGGCAGATGAGGAGATCCTCATGTGGGTCCATGCAGGAATTCTTGAGGCCAACGAGGAAGCCACCCGGGAGGGAAGGCCGATGCCCACTGCTTTCACTGATGAAGAGATCAGCTCCATCGTCCCAATTGACCCTTCGATCGAGGACTACGAAACCGAAGAAGTCAGGGCCCGACAACACCTTCAAGAAGATTTGAATCAGGCCGTGGCTGATGGTTTCTCAACTACAACCATCGAATCGATCGAGATCAATCCGGAGAACACTGATGTCGATGACGATGTTGAAGTTGTTCCCGAGTTTGATGAGTGGGACGTGATCCTTGATGAGAAGATCATTGTCAATCCCCATGACGAGAAGGTCAAGGAAGATGAAATCTCGGAGGAAAGAGCCAAGGAGGTTGCGGATCTCAACAAGATCATCGAGATCACATCCGCTGAGGCAAAGCCTTCGGGAACGTCGGCCGATGTTCCTGCTGCTGCAAAAGATGCACCCGCCAAGGCCGACCAAGAGGGGGAAGACATGACTTCATCGAGGGTTTCAACATGGAGTGTGGTTGGTGGTGATGAATCCAAGCCCAGCGACATGACTTCTTCCAGGATCTCAACTTGGACCGAGGTTGGTGGATCTGAAGCCACTGCCATGGACGTTGACTCTGAGAAGAAGGAAGGTGCTGATGCTGCCCGGGAGGGTGTGCCGACTGATGCTGCAGTTCCTGCAGAGGCTTCTGCTTCTTCCGAACAGCCTGCTGACAAGACTGCCATTGTCGACCTGACCAAGACCGAGAAGAAGGTGGAGGTTGACAAGCCAGTTGGAAAGCCGGCCGAAAAGAAAATGCCGAAGAGTGAAAAGCAAAAGGCACCAGAGTCAAAAGCGCAGCCCAGACAGAAAGCGCCGCGACTCAGTGTCGAAGCTGATGCAGCCCTTCGCAAGTTGGAAGAAGCGACAGAACGCCAAGAGGGATCAGTATGGTTGGACCCCAATGACATGATCAACAGGATTCCCAAGGAGTATTGCGGCCAAGGGCGACTGAGATTTCTTTCCACAAAGTTATCTTATGTTCTCAGGGGGCACGCATTGAGCTATGGTGCTCGCAGCCCAGACATCGATAGATCCCATGGATCTTTCGATGGATTTCGAGGCGGTGATGAAGACGATGGCCCACTACGTCTCCTACCCGAAGATCAGTGAGGTCCTGTCCATCGTGCGCAACAGTGACACCAGGCGCTTTCAGGTGAAAGTGGCTCAGCCCGATTTGCCTGATGCAACCTGGAAGGGTTTGCCATGGAAGGTTGTCGCCATCAGAGCTGTCCAAGGACACAACCGTGCAGTGGTGGAAAATGCCAAAATTTCATTGCTGGTGAAGGAAGTGTTTACTTTGGATCCAACCTTTACCAAGGCCGACCTCGACACGCCCAAGTTGCCAAGGACAAGTCTTCGTCCAGACCTTGTGCCGGAGATGCTGGCTGCACTTCCAAGGGTTATCTACCATAGCTGCGACAGGCTCGCTATGGACAAGATAGTTGAACATGGCCTCATCCCAGGTGGCTGGCCCCAAAGAACAGGAAGGGCGCATAATTTCTTTATTGCGTCACATCCATGGGATGATTCAGTCGGTGGCAGAAAGCTCGCGGGAACGCGAGCCGGGAAGCAATACTATATTGCCTTTGACACCGAGCTCATCGTCCAAAGCGGCTGCCGATTGTTTCGTACAGACGAAGCAATCATAAGCCCTGACTGGATCTCCAACGAGAACATCATATGCACCTATGATGCTGTCAACAGGGAGTTTGCCTGGGTGAATCGCCCCTACGAGATCACGCGTGTGGGGTACAACAACAAAATGAAGACCCACAAGGACCAGGACACTCCGAAGAGAGAAGCACTGTCAAAGAGCCCGTATGCCAACGCCAGGGACAGTTTGAAGGCCTACCTCATGAGCGGCAAGTCCATCCGACCTGGCCAGATGCAGGTGACCGATTCTCCGGAAGAGCTTCCCCCACTTCTTCGTCGACGTGAAGGAACTTCAGGACCCTTTGAGGACAAAGTGACGTTGAAGATGGCCTCCTTTGGTGCCTTGTCCAATGCCGAGACCATTCGCAAAGGCAAGGGCCGAGGAAAAGGCAAAGGGAAAGGAAGCCGCCCGGGAGGGCAGGCCCAGCGCTCAACCAATGCTGAGGATTACATCTACAGCTCAAAGATTGAGATGCAGCAGGTCAGATGCCACTTCTGCGGCGAGTTGAACATTGAGGGCACCCACAAGTGTCAGTCGTGCTTCAAATGGCTGATTGCTTGGTCGGATGGAAGAATTGCGACAGAGGTATGCCGGATGGAAATCTCGGCCAAGAAGACCAACAAGGTATTTTCTCTGGACAAAATCGATTTTGAGAAGCAGCCTCGAGCTCAGCGAGTCTCCGACCGCACCCGAGCAGATCAACGTCGAGCTGGACGAAGAATTTCGGAAATCTCAAGGACGCTGCTCAGACACATGCGGGAAGATACACAAAGCTCGGCTTCAAATCGATCCAGGACCGCATGGAGAAGGACCCATTTTATTTATTCAACAATGCGGTCGGCCAGATTACCCCCGACTGTTGCCAATTTTTGGAGGATTTGGCAAAATGCATTGCCCCTGATGTCGGCCGTACCCGAGAGAAGCGAGAAAAGCAACTGGGAACAGGTGTCAGCACTCGTTTGATTTTCATGCCAGACTTCAACAGAGACATCCGACTCCCGTTGGACGTTACAAAGGAAGCCATGGTTGCACATCATGCACGAGTTTTTACACTCCCACAATTTGCTGTTCTTGCTGCGGACTTGCTGAAAGCGAGGGGGGAACCCACGCCGATGTTATTTGGTTGGTCTGGCTCCATGATGCCTGTGGATCAAGGGTCAGCCCAAGATTGTTTCTTCGACCTTGTCGATTTTGCGAAGAGGCAGTGGAAGGAACAATACAATAACATCAAAGGTGAAGAACACTCCTTCGTGGATGAAGCCACTGCGTCAGATGTGGCTGATTTTCCATTGGCAAGGTCCTCCAAGACGGGTACTGGCGAAGGGCAAGAAGGATACCGGCGTCACTTTGACCCGATTCAGAAGCCAGCCAAGGGCAAGGGCAAGGGTTATGGTCAGCAACAGCGCCCAATCTTTCAGCAGGCCATTGAGTGCTGGAAGTGCGGTCAGTATGGCCACAAATCCTTTGAATGTCGCAGTGGATGGAGCCGAGGGCAACAGTGGGGTTCATATGGATCTTACTCAAGCCGCTCGGGAGGGCAGGCCCAATGGCAAAGCTGGAATTGGAATCAGGGCTACTCTGGCAGAGGTTGGACTGCTGATCCATGGGGAAGATCTACAGCATCAAGCTCCTCGGCAGCTCCTCCGGAGCCAGTGCGGCCACCTTCATCAGCGACGCCTGTGCCTGACACAACTCCTGCTGCTGGCGACCCTGCCCAAGCAGCATCTGGATCAGCTACCGCAGCAGAGCCTCCACGACAAGTGCCTCGTGCACCAGTTGTGATTGCTGAGGAGTACTGCGAGATCAACGGCCAGCCGCACTTCAAGCGCACCTACAATGATGGGACGGTAGAGTTTGAATCTTGGTAGATGTTTCACATCTTGTGCCATGATTTTTATGCCTACCGGAAGGTTTGGCCGATTGGATGAAAGCTGACCCATGGTCATTCAGTTCAATCGAATTGCACACATTTCCAAAACTTGAAATTCCAACTTGATTAACTTGAAAACTTTTCTCAATTGATTCAATGAGATTGACACCAGCATCCGATCCAATGCAGTAGATTGCGTGTATATAGCCGTGTACATTAGCCTGCTACAGTAGCTTCTAAGTTTCCAGGGCAATAAAGGAGTGGTAATGCTCCTATGCCTTGGCGGAAGCCAGGCCGATGTCACATTTGCCATGTCCGACAAATGCCATGCTTGGGATCGAGAAAACCATTTTGCATTCGACCTTTTGCCTCATGCATCCGTGAGCTATGAGCATCCGCAACACTATGGTAGACGTGGTTGACAGTGATGTTTTTCCATGTTGTCCTCTCTCAGGTCACTTCTGGAGGACTACATCTCTCCGCTCTCCGTGAAACTGCGGGGCGGCGGGGGGTGTTTTTGGGTAGTTTCACTGTATATACTAATGTATCACTCATTCTACCGTGTTGCATTGGCTCAAGAAAACAAGCGTATATTGCTGGGGCTTTTGGGCTGTTTAATCTGTAAAACAATTTTAATGTGGAAACTGACACTCCATGCGGTTTGAGGTACCCTGTTTTCTCGAAGCCTTGGTTTCTGTGTCCTTGTGCTGCAAGATATGAACGCACCTTCCCAAATTGGCGCATCAGAACGGACATTTTGATCCTGGTATCCAGACAGACCAGCAGGTTCATGCTGGAAGGGGCACCCTTCGGAAACGCTGGAGCTATTTAAGCAGATTTGCGGCCAATCATTTCTGGCCGTGCCAGGAGAAAAAACAAAAGAATGCAGCTTTGGGCCACCTCCCAAGCAGTTTTTTTTTCCACATCCCAAGCCGAACGAATTTGGATCCTGAGGCCATGGCGGCTACGATGAAATCGCTGAGGAGGAATTCCTGAAGGCCGTGGGAGCCCATTTTTGGGGACGGGTTTCAGCTGGACTGGTCCTTAAAAATGCGAATGGGTAGTCGAATCTGACCTTTTCAGAAGCTTTTATTAGGTGTGGATAGGTGTGGATAGGTGTGGTTGATACTATAGTATTATCTTTCCCCATCTATTTGTAATCCTCAATCTTTTTTTTAAGGGGGGAAGATCATACTTAGACAGCTCACACGTGCTAAATACAAGGCATCCAGTCGTGCAGGGCATCGAAGCTTCGCCTCCAGTGGTTGCAGGTGGTGACCTCATCCAACCTCTGTGTGGTGCATTTCTATCATCGCCATTTCGAGTGCGGCTCTTGGTTTTGGAGATGGCTATGGAAATGATGAGACAGACATAGCTATGGATAACTATGGATAGCTATGGAAGAAACTACCTGGTGGGTCCAGAGTTATTTTTCAGTACTGAACTTGTCAAGTCGGGAAGAAAGTGCCATAGTGGCAGGGTCTCACTGCTGACCAGGAAATGCAAGATCATGGACATGCACCTGAGATCCATGGCAGCATCAGTGCTTGGTAGTAGGATTACTATTTCCATCTCCATCCTATCACTACGACTATCAGCTTGTCGGCTGGGTTTCAGCTGCAAGGTAAATGTGCCAAAAAGTTCTTCGGAACAAGGCCCGTACATGGCAGCATTTGTTTGCAACCATGATTGCTACCAGACATATAAACTGGCTCTCAGCATTCCAATCCAACAAGATGCACCAGGCGTTTTGAATCAGACACATTGCATGATATATAATTACTGAATATTTCGCACAAGGATAGCTCTCCACTTCAAGTATTCCTAGAATTGTAATGAATTGTATGGAACATTTATAGGACACCCCTTCTTTTGGGATGTTTCAACCATGGTTTCAACCGTAGTCTTGCCCAAGATGTCCTGTCCTGTTCTGAGTTTGCTAACTCAGCCTGACAGATTCGTGAAGCTGAACGCAGAGAAGGCGCCCTTCTTTGTCGAGAAGCTTGCAGCAAGCGGCCTCAGTGAAATTGCAGCAACCTTGTGGTGTCTTGGAAACCAAGTGGAAGACCACGTCTAGGAGCATTCGCCAGACTCATGAAGTGGAATTGAGCTACAATGTGGTGCCCTTCGTGGTAAGTTGGTTTAGAAACCCATTAACCCTATGTATGTGCGTATATATATATATATATCTACCAGAACCCAAACTTATATTGGATTATGTTGGTAAAACCATCTCAGGCAACTATGGGGCACCATCTTGTAGACTCGGCAAGGTTTTCGGTCTGATTCTTCAAGTTGAGCTGATGGGAACACGAGCCTTCCAGGTTCGAACATTGCCCTGTGTCATTGTGTTCATCGATGGCGTGGCCAAAGGACACCCTACCCGAGTCTGTTTCAACATCTGGATTTGATACCACCAAACATATTATGCTCTACCATGCTCTACTAATTGTTTATCATCCTACTTCCACAAAGAACAAATCAATATAAAACACATACATACATATTCATACGTACATACACATAACAAAATTGGGAGTACATATGGGGTATCATCTATTCTTTTTGACAAAACCAGATCTTGGCAGTGTCGCCTGCGTTCCTGCTGTTAGGACGCCAGGTGGGCTTTGAGGGGCTTGGCCTGAAACTGAGGAATGAGTTGATACCAGCAAGGACCAAGCGACGAGGACTATAGTAACCTCCAAGAAGATGCAGAAAAGATATGAAAAGGACAGTATTTTTCAGAAGTTTTTCCACTTTTCTGTACCTTTTCGGGGGTTGCTGGCGGAATGTGCTGAGCCGAGCACTTCCAAGGCGGAGAAGAGTTTGCCACGGTGGCTTCCTTGATATTGCCATCAGGGGCAGTCCAACGGAAATTTGGAGCCGCAAAGCATAAACACATGACTTATCATGACTTCAATTCGCGATGATTTTGGAGCTCAATTTGGGAAACCCCAACTTAAATGGGTATCAACAATGGAATCGGCAAACCTAGATCATGATCCCCTCACGAGGTTTATGCCTGGTGAAGTTTATAGTGTGTGGTTTCTGTTTGTGCACCAGGCATATGTTTTTTTTGTTCACGGGGCAGATCATCATAGGCAAACATCATCCTTTCCCTATTAACAGATCATTAGACTCTTTTTTTATGAAAAACTCGTGTCAAAATATCAATTTTTCTTGGTTAAATTCTCCATTTTGCAGATTTCAACGTCGATGACCAGCGGAAAACCATCGTCAGTTTTGTCGATGACCAAGGCTCAACTTGCCTGGAAACTGAAGGAGTGGGAAGGTGACTCGCCGAACGCACGGAGATGCACGGGGGGAGTAACAGGGAAGGCAACGAAGTTCAACGAAGCCTCTTGACCCTCTAGAATCATTAGGATTAGAGTGGTTCCAAGTTTTGAATTACAGATATTATTATAGATTATTATAGTAATTATATGTATAGATACTTGTAGTCTGTTTTGGAGGTTTCTTTGGATCAGATGACAGATGTGAACTCCCAGGTATCGAAGAGGAGGTAGATCCTGATGAGGAATTTTGAGCGACCAAATGCAGAGCCGCAGCGGTTGACGGTTTGACCGTTTGAGTTTCACCAAGGTTTAGGTTTTGGTTGGGAACCGACCAAAGAGTGCAACAAAAACACTCTTCAGGTGGTTTGAATGCAGAAATGGCATGTGCATGAGCTCCAAAAAGTGGCCAGGAAAAGCTCGATGCAAGTGATTTAGAGCCCAAAGGTGAAGATCAAGTGATTTTGATGCAGCTATTGTTCTTGAGTGCTTTGAACCCCACAAGATCCTATTCGTTGGAGCTTCATCTTCCGCAGCTGTTTTGTATGAAGGTATCGGCGCAGGCCGTGGTAAGGACATCCTGTGACAAGATCATGTTGAGCTGATGATAACTGGAGGGAGCCGGGCAGATTGATGATTCACCACGAAGGTTGACATTGAACAGAAGTATATAATTGGAACATTGGAACACTTATTATTAGCATTATGATTGGAACATATTGGAACCTCACCTTGTGAGCAGACTCGCCTGCACCAAATAGACTAAATCTACCAGTGCTGCCCGGGAAGCTTTAAGCCTTGATCTATGCCTTGGTTACAAGCATCCGCTGCATCGAATTTCAACTGCAATTATGAAAATTATGAAACAGGACATGATAAATTCTGATAACTACAGATACATACCATGCAGCAGGAAACCACAGACAGTTTCTTCAGAAAAAAGACGCCCGAAACTGCCGATTTTGAGCGACTTCGCCTCAGCGCAAAGGCCACGGAGGTCATGGGCTTCTGATATGACAGGTGAACCAGGGGAAAACGAAGCGAGAAAACCAGGCCGTAGACGCCTTGTTGATCTTTCAGGATCTGTTCTTTGGAATTATGTGCATTTATATCCTTGATTTACACACCTTGATATCCTTGATCATTGTATATCTATGGAATTATTATTCATCAATGTAGGCAGGTCAGCCATTCGGAAAAAAAAACGTGACCAGAAACTGGTGTCCTCCTTGGCTTGGCTGAAACTCGGGTATCCGGTAACTAGGGTTTATGGTAGATACAGTATATCTAGTGTATATCGTCTATGTATACTTCATGGGGTTATAAACCAACAAACAAGTTACAGGGGTGCACCACCTTGTATCATCTCATACGTCTATGATGAATTAAGTAGTCAATGACCATAATGACATCCAACATGACCATGACTTGAACCATGACTGGGGGTCGTTTCATAAACATCCGAGGCTGCATCCGAGGCTGCAAACGAGGTATACCCAATTTCATAAACCGATTAGTTGGGGATCATAATTTATTGGGTTTACCATGGTTTTTTCCCATAAGTCATGAGTGATAATTCATAATCATAAAATCTACAAGTTCGAAATGGATAACATCCGAAAAATGGGCATCCTCTATTGTCACTGGATTGGTTTTCGCGAACATCTTAACCGGAAACCATGGTTTTCCCGTGTTTTCCCTATTTTAATATAGGGGTTTCACCATTGAAACCATGGTTTTTCCCCATAAAATCTAGGGCTTTCCATGGTTTCCTGTAAAATTCCCCCAACTCCCAGGCATTTTTACAAAGGACCGCCGGCCCAGCGGCGTTTCCGGACGTGTTTGCCAAAGGTCATGTTGCCACGGCGAGCACGCCTTGGTCGCAGAGCTGGACTGCTGGCAGGTATGGGTTCAATGACAAGTTTCATGGGGTTGTCATACTGTTGATGGGAGAAATCCTGCACCACCTTGGATGGTTGAAACCTTATAAATAGTGGGATAAACCATCTATCAACTGGTGTAGGATTTACCATATTAATTTTATGTTCTATGTTTAACATATCTTGAACTCTATATATTTAAGATGATTTAAGATGTTTCCCCATTCCATCTTCTGGTTTCAACATGTTAAAGATACTTTAACGTATTAAAAACTTCATTTTCCCATATCTTCCCCATGTTTTCATCATCATTGGGAGCCCAATGACCCTGGACCTCGTCGAGCCGCAGGTCAAGTACGGCACAATCAGCCCACAAATCCCCAGGTTCCATTTACCTCTGGCCAGGCGTGGCAGAATTTTCCAAAGAAATTGGCGATGTACCCAAGTGTATGGCCATGAAAACACGGGGAAAATGAGGTTTGAAACAATGGGATTTGGAGTTTCCCCAGCCCAGGGGCCAGGGGCCAGGGGTGTTCACTGGCCTTCATCAGGCTGTCAGAAGACACACTATGAAAACAGAAATTCAAGCCTGACGGCACGAAAATCCTGACCCAGTTGACTGAGCATGCCACCAAATAAGAGGCTTGATTCACTTGATCAAATCTTACTAAGGCTTTATTTTTAAGTTTGTGATTTACCATCAACCCCTTTTTGGGGCCTAATCTTTTAAAAGCCCGCTCCAGACGCTGCCAGACGCTGAAAAAGCCTGCATTGGTTCAGCCCATCTTGCCGGTTTTCCTGGCGTTGTTTATATCGTCGGATGTACCGCTGGGGATCCCGCTGAGGAGGAACCTGGGAATCTGCAGAGATCCTGGCAGCTGGATGTTAGACAGAAAAAGTAGATCTATGATAAAATGATTTGTACATGATTTATATTCAACATAGATCTAAACTATTCTAAACTGTATGATCAACCAGATTCAATGAATTTCAATAAGAACTATTTAGGGATTGACCAACTTCAGTTCCATTGGCAGTTCATGTCGGCGTGGAATCTCCACTCTCCGCCAGGAAGTGGATGCCCCCAAGATGGAGATGTACAGCCTTGGAAAGGATCCATGGCGCATATTTGGCGAATATCCATGGCTTACAATCCAGCTATATGTTGGATGTACACCAGTTATATATGAGTTATATGAGTTAATTATGAGTTATTAACCACTTAGAAATTGGGATGCACCCCCAAGTTTGACTAGGACGATGATGGGATGAGTTGGTTGATTTTGCTGGAGGGGCTAACCTGTCCTTGCAATCAAGAGGGACATGATGATTTTCTGTCAATACAGGACCTATACCAAAGTCCTCACCATTCGGAAGTGATGGACATTCTCATGCGCTTTGACTCTGTTCTGGTGTAAAGATACCCTCTGGTAATTTGTTACATAGCTATTGAAAATCACCATTTATAGTGGATTTTCCCATTGAACATCGTGATTTTCCATAGTTTTTTGCATGTTTACCAGAGGGTATGTTTGACTCAACATTCCGCTTTCGGAATTTCGAAGCGATGAAGGACTGGATTGTGATCTACACCAAGGACGGCCTGTCGTGCCATCCCTGCTCTTCAGAGCCCAGCGGATGTCTGGAAACTGGAAGCGAAGTCCATGTTGCTACTCCCCCTGACCTTGAAATCATGTGAATTCATGTGAATTCATGTGAATTCGTGCTGTAGTATTACGGTAGTATCCTTTGATTTCTTTCCCATCCTTCAGAAAGTGGCCCTACAGCGTAGGATGGTAGGCCCTACTACTTCAACCAGGAGACTGAAGAGTCCGGGGTCCAAAAACGGTGCCACAGGTAACATCAGCACCAGCTTAAGTAAAGACAGTAATAAGCATTTTCAGGAGGTTTTGCCAACATCCTTTTAATGAGCTACAAGGTTTCTCTCAAACATACTAAAACCCTTAGGAGTTATTCATCCTCATAGCTCATCCAATCTTAGATAGTGAGTTGAAAAAGTTTTAATTTTTTTCTCACTCTGAAGCTACCTGGGTCTGTGAAAATGGGGTCTTTCCCCAACCTATGGCATTTTATCATTGGCTCTTTCCCCATAGGAACGGGGTGGAACGGGGTGACCCCCCTGGGTGACCCATGGGTCGCTGAGGACCACCTGGATACACCCAGGCACAGGCGTGTCTGTGCCACCTTCCAAGCCGCCAGCAGATACCAGGCGCAGGGCCCCGTGTGGGCCCCCGTGGCCCCCATGGCACTTCCCATAATGAAACATCATATCCAAACAATATCAAACACTCATATCCAAACATATCCAACACATATCCCATTATATATATGTATATAATTATATATATTATATCCCCATTCACTGGTTTCTTTTTCATTACCATCATAGCTCCATTTTTGATCACCCTGTTGGCAATTGAGGAGCATGCCGTCCGTTCTGAAGTGGCTTTTTCGAGGGTTCTTCTACTCCATGGGCGGGCTAATGTCTGGACACCCAGCAGTCGATTTGATCATTTGTTGAAGATCCCCCCAAAAGGGAAGAAGAATCCCCAAAATCATCAACCAACAGGCGTTTCGAACGAACATTTCTGATTTTGGGATGCCTCAAAATTGTCAACCCCTTGAACGAAAGGATAGTCTAGCACAATACAAGCCATGGCCAACCTTGTTTGTGTATACCTATGAAAAAGGTTTCAGTTTGCACCGATAAAAGAGAAGGCTCAAGAACCACAACTACATGCCAACGCTGAGCACTTTCTTCGGACTCACCTTAGCCATGTCCACGTTTTGTGGTTCGTCAAGACAGATGCGATCTTTTTCTGCAACTCAAAATCTCAATACAGTCTGCTTTTTCAGCATTTACTCCATGCTAAATATCAGTGATTTGAAGCGAATCATGGACTGCAAGGTGCGGCCCCCAAGTTACAAGTTGGTCTACAACCCCCATGAATACCAGTTATAACATGTTATACTTGCCATAAACCCCGGTTATTGGAGATACATAAACCAGCTTAGCTATCCAGGGGTCCCCACTTTGCAACTGCTCTGAGGCTGCTGGCCACTTTGGGTGGTTCTCCACTCTTAGCGTTCTGCCGACGATGTTAACGAGTTTGACGGCTTTGGTTTTATCTCAACATGTATCCAAATGAAGAGGGTTTAACACTTTCACATTCTCATTTTGAGACACTTGGGATTTAACCATCACTTAAATGGGTTGAATAGCCAATCTATCTCCGTTGGGGATTAAACCAACTACAAAGAAGCATATTGAGGCTGTATGGTTTTGCATTATTCAGAACGCGGAACATGATTTTCTCAACCAATCAGATAGGTTTTCGCACAATTTGAGAAGCCTATTGGTTGGCAGGGGCCAGGGTGTTATGCCAGGGGCCAGATAGCTTTCTTTCGGAAATCGGGATTCAACCAGCAACAATGCTGACTTCACCATTCGGTGATCAAACACAGCAATGGGAAGTCCCATAGAAATGGAAGTTTTGATTGGAAAACCATCTATAAA